TGGCGCCTTAGCTGGTTGAGCCACAGGCACCAAGCCTTTTCTTTTAGTCTTATTCCATATGTTTTGTACCATAGTTTTTTCTTGCCTATAATGTAATTGTGTATCCCATTTTCTGACAACAAGATGGACAAAAGAATTTCCATTTATAAAGAAAAACTTTCTGTTTATTTATTTATTTATTTTGAGGCAGAGCCTTACTTTGTTGCCCTCGGTAGAGTACCGTGGCATCACAGCTCACAGCAACCTCAAACTCTCGGGCTCAAGTGATCCTCTTGTCTCAGGCTCTGGAGGAGCTGGGACTACAGGTGCCTGCCACAACGCCCAGCTATTTTTAGAGACAGAGTCTCTCTGGCTCTAGCTCAGGGGCTCTGGAACTTGTAAGCTCAGATGATCCACCTGCGTTGGCCTCTCAGAGTGCTGGGATTATAGGTGTGAGCCACCAGAGACAGGCCCTGAAAAACTTTTTAACATTACTGTCGACGGGTATGCACAAGCCTATACCGTACTGCTGTGCCCCACGTGCTTCTCCCCTACTGCAGCTAAAGCAGTGCTTCACTCACCAGCTTTGCACCCAGAAGAGTACTTACCAGTTTAGTAGGCAGGTGCTGGTCATTGTCCAGAGCCTTCCACAGGTCTTCCAGATGTTCCATGAACACACGGAAACCTGCTTTCGAGTCCAGCTTATACAGCAGAGGGGCATAGCCCTGCACGGCATCGTGGAAGCAGGCCACCCGGTCCACATCTATGTCATTCTCGCCTGCCGAGATGGAGGCCAGGTCCACAAACACCTTCAGCTCCGTGATGCCTGGGGAGGAGAGCAGAGGGCAGCACGGGGCCTTTCCACGAGGGCACAAGGCTCCGTCCTGGATGTCATCTTTAGTGATGCTATAAATAGATGTTCAACGAGTTTTTAAGGTTTTATCTGCTTTCTGCTTTCAATAAGAATCTAGGTGTGTGGTGGCAGGCCTATATATAGTCCCAGCTCCTTGGGAGGCTGAGGCAAGAGAATCGCTTAAACCCAAGAGATTAAGATTGCTGTGAGCTGTAATGCCAAAGCACTCTACTGAGGGTGACATAGTGAAAAAAAAATAAAAGAGAGATAATTCTTGAGCTAATTATTAATCAAAGGAGGTGCATCAAACTGATCAAACTGGACAAAGAGGCCAAGTGTGGTGGCTCACACCTCTAATCCCAGCACAGTGGAGGCTGAGGCAGGAGGGTGGCATGAGCCAGGCACTGTAGGCTACAATGAGTTATGAGTAGACCACTGTCCTCCAGCCTGGGCCACAGACTAAGATCCTGTCTCAATACAAACAAACAAACAAAAAAAAGGACAAAGAGCCAGAATAGCCTCTGAACCCCTCAGCCCCAAACTCACACCGGCGCCCACCTGCCCTCCACCCTGCCCTTCTTTCCTCCCTCTCCTTCTCCCCTCTGAATGGTCGTCAAAGGCTCCTAAGCTACAGCACTAAGAAGGCTGCTGTAAATATACAGCATTAATGCAGGTGCTGGGACAGAGTCTCTCCACAGGCAAGAGCTCTTTGTTCAACCAAAAGGAAAAGCTGAAGGGCACAGATTGTTAAGACAATGACTCTAAGTCGTTCACAGCACCTGAGAACTGCCGAGTGGGGGTGACCTCGGCCAGCGTCAGCAAGCCACAGCAGCACTCTACCTGAAGAACACACATGTGACCAAGGGGCTGCATGTCCCAAAGTCCAGGGACATCACACGGAAAACCACCTGGAAACCCCCTGCAGACCCCTGGCGTTTACCTCCCAGTGCCTCCTTCACCCAGCCGATAAACTCCTTCCTCAAGGTCAGCGCCTCCAGACACTCGTACCGCTCTGGGCTGATGCCCTGCAACCTCTTCTTGGCTTGGATAAGCTGCTGGTTGATCTGGACCAGTTTCTCATGGCGAAAGTCGTTGAAGTTCTCGGTCTGCAAGGCAAAGTTACAGTGTGGACTGGAGTCGTTGCACGCAAACCCAGAGTCTGCGAGCACCAGTACCAACAATCCGACAGCCCATCCCTCTGTGGGCTCCTGGACCTGCGGCCGCCGCAGGGGTTCACCTGTTCCTCTGTACCTGACACCGCTGACACTCATGTGGATGTCAAGACCCATTCCTCACAGTACCCTGCCCGCTGCGTGTTATCCTTTCTGCTTCATCAACCAAGAAACAGGCCTGCAGTGGTCACTCGCTCAGAGACACACTGCTGGGATTTAAGTGAGTGTCTGATTCCAAACTTTCCTGGTAACCTTTACTCACTTTCATACTGTTAGAGTACATCGAACAGAGGCGTACGTACCTTATAAATGCTCACCTAAAAACAGAAAGCAAAAGACTCACTGCTTAACTCTGACAGAAACAACTTGTCCTTCACTGCTTCTCAAGAGCACTAGGAGATGTGACTGGCTAGCCAGCAGAGTAACCTAAAGAGATCCAATTCACTCTACAAGTATCTCATTGCTAAGAAAGGATTGTTGCCCCTTCCTGAATTCTTGATCTTCACACCGACCTGAGGTGAGTGAGTGTGAAGGTGAAAGTGAAGCCCATAGCACATTCAGGCCTTAAGTGCAGCAGAAGCAGGAGCCCTGAAGGAAGCTGTTTGTCACCCCAGGCAGCGTTTAGAGCCAGAAGCCCGCACCTCCCCAGGAGGCTGCGGTAGGGGCCCACCCCTACTCCAGAGTCCCCAGCTAATCACTCACAAAGTGTAATAAAGTGTGAAGCACACTGAAGTCACCGGTCAGTCCCAGAATCTCTTTGACCTTCAAGATGACCTTGGCTGAGCGGACAGCCTGGTGCAGGTTATGGTATTCCTTGATCTGCTCGACTCGCTCCGGGATCCAATCCTTTTGGACCTGGCTGTGCACAGCACACATGGTCTCGAGCTCTGTAAGCAGTGCACTGTATTTATTCACAAAGTCCTTGAAGATAACATCGATTTCTGCAAAGGTGACCTCTCCTGATTTCAGATCCCTATAAAACTGAGTAAAGTTCTTATAACAAGGATGATACAGATAATCATGCGTCTCTTCCAGCCCCAGCAGTCGCCCTTCTGATTCTTCCTCAAGATTACTCAGTAGCTTTGCAGCAGCTTCCCAGAAGATCTGGAAGGTGTGGCTGTCTTTCAGCACGTCTATGTTTTTAGCCATTTCTTGGATCTGGGGGCTCAAATGGTAATGTGTTGTGCCTTGTAGAGGTGAGGTGGTGGGTGGCGTCACAGTCATGGCCTCATTTAATCTCTTGCTGCTGAGGTCCTCCGAATGTCTCTGTGCGATCTCTCCAACATCCACTTGAGAAAGAGTAAGAACACAGCAGAAGTCAAAGCTCTGTGACAACAGCCTTTAACTTTACTTTCCCAGTATTTCCTCTCCTCAGTTCTCTAAGGAAACCCAAGTGAACATAGCTCAGTGAGAATCCAAAGGTCTCCCCTTTCCTCAGGCTCGGTCATCAATCTTCCTGACAAAGAAAACGTCCTACCTCTAGGTAGAGACGACGGTTTGGAAACATGCATCTCTTTATCTCTTGCCCAAATCTCACCCCAATGACAGAACAGAAATGTTTTCTAAAAAGTCAAAAACCAGCAAGGATGAGAAGAGGAGCAGAAAAGAACAGCAATGAAATGTGGGAATTTGAAAACAAGCTGTTCCAGCGGTGAGTGACGTTGGTCCTGAGAGCACAGAGTGCTCAAACCACAGTGGGGAAGACAGAGAGTCAGCAGGCTCCCTCAAAGCACAGACACTGGTCGCACAGGTCACTGGAAACTAGGAGGTGACACTGAAACAAGGAGGACTGGGCACGGTTGGCCGTGTCCACCTCACTGTGACGCAGCAGGTAGACGCCCCTCCTCCACCCTGGCATGCGGCACGTGGTTTATTTTCTAGAGAGAATAATACAGAGGGTTCCCTGGATTGGAAGTCACAGATACATGATGGAAAAAAGGCATTTCCAGACACAACTCTTCCTAGAAAGGAAACAGAGGCCATGTACCACCATCAAAGGGACAGGAAAGGGCAGGGTGCAGAGCACAGGTGGTGGGGAGAGCCCCACTGAACACTCGAGATGCAGAGGTTGGGCCTGTGCTTCTCCTCCTTGGCTCCCAGAAACCTGGCACTAGACCTTTACCCTCCAGGCAGAGAATGGGCATCTGACCAGCCCAAGAGAGGAGGCCCCAAGACACACCCAGCTACAAGGCCAGGCCATGGGCCCACGGGGCAGCTCCCCACCCAGAACCCAGCTCAGGCCTGCAGAGCTCTAAGCCCACTTATTAGGGCTTTCTGTTAATTAAAACTAACAAGAATTTCCAGACATAGGAAGAAAGTCAAAACAAAGCAGCAGATGAAAGCCACTTGGAAGAAACAGAACTCTGCACGGCCTCTGGAGAAGCATGAGCGTGTCAGAGAGCTGGGCCACTGCAGCCGTGGACAGCGCCGGTGATGCTGGAAAGGTCATGCAGAGAAAAAGGGTCTCTTTAGATTAAATTGTACAGAGGGCACCAAAAAATGTATACAACTGCGAGAAAGGAAACGTGTGTTAAATTTGTAATGCTCGGCTCGGCGCCTATAGCTCAACCGGCTAAGGCGCCAGCCACGTACACCTAAGGTGGCGGGTTCGAATCCCCAGCCTGGACCCGCCAAACAACAATGACGGCTGCAACCAAAAAATAGCCAGGTGTTGTGGCGGGCGCCTGTGGTCCCAGCTACTTGGGAGGCTGAGGCAAGAGACTCGCTTGAGCCCAGGAGTTGGAGGTTGCTGTGAGCATGATGCCACGGCACTCTACCCAGGGGGACAGCTTGAGGCTCTGTCTCAAAAAAAAAAAAAAAAAAAAAAAATTTGTAATGCTCAAGTCACGCCGGCTTCTGCAATTACAAGTAAGCAAATGAGGCTGGTATGCATCTGTGGTTATCTGTATATACTGAATATTACAATGTTGTTTTTTTTTTTTGAGACAGAGCCTCAAGCTGTCCCCCTGGGTAGAGTGCCGTGGCATTATAGCTCACAACAACCTCCAACTCCTGGGCTCGAGCGAGTCTCCTGCCTCCCCCTCCCAAGTAGCTGGGACCACAGGCACCCGCCACAACGCCCGGCTATTTTTTGGTTGCAGCCGTCATTGTTGTTTGGCGGGTCCGGGCTGGATTCGAACCCGCCACCTTAGGTGTACGCAGCTGGCGCCTTAGCCAGTTGAGCTATAGGCCCCGAGCCTGAATATTACAATGTTAATGCACTTTCTAGCCTTTGGTAAAATATGTTTATATTTTTTGGCACCCTCTGTATACATGAGGGCTGAAATTAAAAATTTAATGGACAGTTTGGAAGACCAAGTTAGTTCTGAGGAAATCTCTCAGCAAAGCAAAAAACAGAGATGGAAAATAGGAGGAAAATTTATAAAAGTCAAATGACCATTCTACGAGGTCCCATGGCCAGTGAATTCCAGCAAGAGAAAAAAATAATTAAATAATTCCAGATAATTTCTCAAGAGCTCAGACTTCCCGGGACTTAGATGTCTGGATTAGAAAGACCTGCCCACTGATGCCCAACACAGCAGATGAATGCCATGGCGCACTGGAAAGTCTGGGCAACTAGGGACAGAAACATCCCGAGAGCTTTCAGGGGGAGACAATATTCCACATTCAAATGGCTGATCTCGGAGGAGGCCAGACATGCGTAGGCATGCAAGGACACAGGAAAGTGACAGAAGATATGGCAGGGACAAACACGGCAGGGACAAAGAGCCAGCAAGGGAGATGTGGAGAGGCAGAGGTGGTCCCCAGGAGGGGGAAGACCTGCGGGCCGCATCTCAAGTCCAGTTTTAAGAAATTATTTCTTGAAGTCCTAAGAGATTATCTTGAGGGGAAATGCAGGCAGTTGGTCGAGTTTGGGGTTAAATTAGAAATAAAAACAATGAAAACAAAGCAAATAACAAGAAATGTAACTCTACAGAAAACAGTTTGTGTAAGAAATGCAAAAGGATCCTGCTCTAATTCCTGGCTCACCCATGAACACTGTATTTACGCAATCAGGATGATTTAAACCCTGAATCTCGAGCCACCTCAAATTATAATATAACGGGGAGTCGTGGGTTGATGGGAAGGTTCTGTGTACAGGGCACAGATTGGAAATGCAGAGATCTAAGCCCTCAACTTCCACAACAATAACTAATGCTGACACCAGAAAATCGGGGAGACATTTACATATTTAGAGACATGGCAGAAAACACCAAAAAGATGACTCTAAAACAAGTGAAAATTACTCTCTGGCAAATATACATACAGCTTTGTTTTGTTTTGTTTTGTTTTTTGTAGGGACAGAGTCTCACTTTATTGCCCTTGGTAGAGTGCTATGACTATACAGCTCACAGCAACCTCCAACTCCTGGGCTTAGGCGATTCTCTTGCCTTAGCCTCCCGAGTTGCTGGGACTACAGGCGTCCGCCACAACACGTGGCTATTTTTTTGTTGCAGTTTGAACCCACCACCCTCAGTATATGGGGCAGGCACCCTACCCACTGAGCCACAAGTGCCACCCAGCTTTGTTAAAATTTTTTTAAAGACTTCTGTCCACACAGGGTCCAGTGGCTCATGCCTATAATCCCAGCGCTCTGGGAGGCTGAAGCAGGAGGATCCCTTGAGCTCAGGAGTTATAAACCAGCCTGAGCAAGAGCAGACCCCCTCTCTACTAAAAATAGAAAAACTAGCTGGGCGTTGTAGCAGGTACCTGAAGGTCTAGCTACTGGGGAGGCTGAGGCAGGAGGATCTCTTGAGCCCAGGAGTTTGAAGTTGCTATGAGCTGTGACACCACGGCACCTTACCCAGGCAACAAAGCAATACTGTAGCCAAGGAAAAAAAAGCCTTCCCTGCAAAATACGGCTCTGCTGCCAGTCCCACTTTTACTGTTCTCCTCTCATCCGTAGCCCCTTTTGTTTATGCCAGTTCTTGCTTTTTTTTTCTTTTTTTCTTTTTTCTGAGACAGAGTCTCACTGTGTTGCCTTCAGTAGAGTACCTTGGCGTTACAGCTCACAGCAACCTCAAACTCTTGGGCTTAAGCGATTCTCTTGTCTCAGCCTCCCAAGTAGCTGGGACTACAGGCGCCCACCATAATGCCTGACTGTATTTTTTTTTTTTGCACTTGTCATTGCCATCCAGCTGGCCCGGGCTGGGCTCGACTCCTCCAGCCTCGGCGTTATGTGACCAGCACCCTACCCACTGAGCTACGGACACTGCCCCGTTTATGCCAGTTCTGAAGCACTGACACTACCTTGTACCAGATGCTTCACGTTCTCAAACAACTCCAGGAGGCTACTGACGTGTCCTCTCTCTCTCTGCAGGAAAAGCAGTTCCTTCTTTCTCCAATCCAGAACTTCCTTCATGTTGCATTTTTTCTCCTGGGGTGAAAGAGTTTTCTTCTCTGGAAAACAACACAAGAAAGTGACCCAACAGATAAACGCCATTTCCCGTGGCATCCCGTGTCTTCTCCACCTTCACTGCTATGAGGATGTAGCTGTTCTCATACGACCACTGGATGCCAAGTCACGTGCTCAGCGTCAAGGAAGAAAAACAGAGCAGGAGCTCTTGGTTTTCCATCATTTTATCACTTTCCCATGATTTCCCTAAGATTTAGAAACCAATCCCTACCAACTTACTGGCAAGAGCTACTCATTACAAAGGCTAAGAAGATCGCGTCTTTACAAAGTACACAGACACAAACAACTCTTGTCCTTGCAATTCCTCAGCCGCCAGAAATGCGCACCTCAAACCGACACTTACTTAGTTGCCAGATGTCAAGAAACTGTTTTTCATGCTTCATAATCAGCTCCAGTTGTCCAACTAAAACCTCCCCACTGACGAGGTCACCAGCAACTTTTGTGACCACAGAGTCAGCAGCGGCCATCAGCTTCTTGCTGTCCTCCGTGATGTTCACTAGTATCTTCTCATCAGATCCTGGTGAATTGCGAGCAGTTAGAATAGTGGACTTCCCACCTCTTGCCCCACCATTGCTAACGTGGGAATTCCCAATAACCTCGTTTTGATCCAACTTCTGCAAACACAAGCCCGAGTCGGTCAGCACATCCAGTTTCAGCAGGGACTGAATAACAAGATGGGCTTATGGGGCCACTCGTACAGCACACAGACACAAGCGCAGCAACGCCACACTCGGCATGTCCGAGCTGTCTCACAGAACTTGCAATGTGAATTTGGGGATCAATTGAGAGGGCAGAATTTTTAAACATGCTTCATTTAAACACCAAAAGATTTCTGTACCAGTAATATTAGAGTCATACAGTATTAGGAGAACTTACGAAGCACATCTCTATCAGTAAAAACAAATCCAGGCCGGGCATGTGGCTCACATCTGTGATCCCAGCACTCTGGGAGGCCAAGGCAGGTGGACTGCTTGAGCTTACGGGTTTGAGACCAGCCTGAGCAAACATGCGACCCTATCTCTACTAAAAATAACACAAAAACTAGCTGAGTGTTATGGTGGGCACCTGTAGTCCAAGCTACTCGGGAGGCTGAAGCAAGAGGATCATTTCAGCCCAAGAGTTTGAGGTTGCTGTGAGCTGTGACACCACAGCACTCTACCCAGGATGACAGAGTGAGACTGTCTCAAAAATAAACAAACTGGCTTGGCGCCTATAGCTCAACCGGCTAAGGCGCCAGCCACGTACACTTAAGGTGGCGGGTTCGAATCCCCAG